CCCCAAAACCCCAAAACCCCAAAACCCCAAAACCCCAACTAATGTTAAATAATATATAATAATCCAGTGAAATGTAAGGTTTTTAGCAAGTGGTGAGAGTGATGGATAAAGAGGAAGAATAATTTAATAAAAGTGGGGTTATTTAAATTTTTAGTTCTTTAGATTATTCTTGAAGAGCTTGGAATACTTTTTTCAAACTAAAGGAAGGAAATTAGCATAATTTATTTTGTTATAAAAATTAATAAGATTAATTACCAAAATAAACTGCACCGAAGCAAATAGAAAATATAAAAATAATTGTAAACCCTTCCTTTTCCTTTCATCTTCTATTACTTCCAAAAACAATTTTGAATCATCTCTCCCTAAATCTTCTCCAAAACATGAACATCCAAAACCCCATAAATTCCAAAAAATACCAAAAACGGCTCTTTAAGCCCACCCAAATTCCCTCCTTCACTACACCCACCTGTTCGAGCCCACCCAAAATTTCCACTTTCCCCTTCATCAACCCCCTTACCACTATTTCCAAAATTACAATTTCGATAAACCACCATAAATTCCAACAATCTCAGTTGTGAAATGCTGAAATAGCCAATTACGCGTCACTAGCCCATACATCCCAATATTTCTACAACTTTCTCTATTACTAACAGGCAGGTGAACTTGGTGGAGCCTAATTTGACCCATTTAAATTTTAGTACCAATTAATCCTACCCAGTTCCATAACCAGGCTTTCTTAATGTACGAACTCGGAAAGATCGTAAATTAGCTACATCCCTCCTGAATTCAGAAAATTCTAATCATCTTTCAAGCCCACTGGCTCTGGCTTAGGTCCTACATATTTGGGATTTCGGTGTGAATAAGTGGTTAAAAGAGATTTTAGAGTCAAGATTAGTCATGATTTAGCCTAAAGCACACACCTGAGTTTGGATCCGTCAAGAGTCCTACCACATAATTTTAAGTTATGAAATTTGGTCCAAATCTTCCATTTGGGTCTTACTAGAACAAGGTTTAACTTTGCTATAGATGATCCACATTAACCAAATTTTGAAAGAAGACTCTCACTGAAGAATTTTGGATTGCACCCTGGCATCAATAGAGGCCTTCATCCAAGTCTGAGAACCAGATGAGATGGAAATCCTCAATCAACTTAATCTAGCACACTGCTCAGGATTCCCAAAGATTCTTGGAAATATACAAATTGATAACAAGAAAGCACTGATATTAGAAAGATTACCTGGTAGGAGCTTGAAAGAGTTCTTACTCGAGACAGATCCGTCTGAACAACTTTCTGTTAAGGAACTCAGTGAAATATTTGCCAAAATTATCATGCTGATGCAAAAGATCCATTCAGTCGGATACATTTACAGGAATATTGAGCCAGAGCATATCTTCATCTCTCCCTATTTCTGAAATGACGATTCTGTGCTACAAAAGTCTAGAGTGGATAAGATTATTCAAAAGGATGTGAGCCACTTCGTTGGCTCACAGAGCTTCGACTCCAAGACTTTCCGGGCTAGAAATAGCAGCACATCCTGCACCAAGAACTACTCTAGATAGAAAGAAATAACATCAAAAGACATTTTGAGGTATGATAGTTTTGTTCATAAATTGGTTTATCGATCAAATTCATGACTCTTCCTATAGGTATCGATCCTTAATTTTACCTTGAGCCAACTAATCTCAGAGCATAACTCCTGTTCTTCACTTGAAGAGAGAAAATCAGACCCTGAAGAGTTAAGCAAGAAGCACAAACACAGTGAGGAAGAGAAACTTCCTCCAGCTGTTTCGAAAGTATCACTCTCCAGAATGAACACAAAACAAAATGTGACTAAGACAGATGACCTTAAAGACGTCTGCTACTTGTTTGCTTATTGCCTTATGAATTCATGGTAAGATGCCTCTCTAACTCCTAGATATCAGGAAAAATTGCTTCAAAAGGAGCAGGAAGTGCATGCATTTGCACTAGAAATTTTTAGAACCATCTACTCGAAGACTAAATTTTCCTCTTTCAAGACCGGGTTCAGTCACAATGATTCATATTTGAGTGATTACTCAGGTCTTACAAGATGCCTCAAACAGAAGATCGCTAAATTGCCTTTGAAAATCAAAAATGAATTGATCTCGTTTTGAGACCCTTGCAGTGACGGGGTCATGAGCGAGTTTCATCCACTCGAGAAACTAGGCCAAGACCCTACCTTTGACACTAGAGTTGGGAATAAATATACTAGAAAGACCCAAGTTAAGCATGCTTACAATGCCTTCTATGGCAAGAGTAGTACATCTAAAAACTGACCAAGGAGTCGGTTCTGGGCAAGCCAACAATCATCCTTCAAACGACATACGGCTAAAGACAATAGAGTATACAGTTCTGATAAACACATTCTCACAAAAATGTGTGATGACTTTGATGACTCCAAAAATAGCACAGTTATCACCGGGAAAGTCTTGAAAAAGAGCTCTCAGGATTATTCTCGAAAGAGCAAACAGGTACTGTCATTCTTCACCTGATAATGAATACATACTATTTCCTAAACAAGTTTTTATTCCCAAGATTGCTAATTATTGTGCATATCAAATTTGGTTTCAGCCGCTTTATTCTCTTTCCATAAGATCACCAATAACCTTACCTAAAATAGGACGTTCCGGAGAAGATAGATCTATCCAAAAATGCCCAACACCTTGACCAAATAATGGAAGAAGGGATCGATATGGAAGAGAGTGACTCAGTCATTGACCAAAATATGAAGAGCCAGAGGGAGTCTAAGTCTGCCTTCCTAAAGCTACTCAAAAACCCGAACAATCAGAGCAAGTTATCCCAGTCCCACCGCCAAGTCTCTGACAAGATGGACCCAATGTCTATATTTGAAGGTGGGAATGAAAACATTAGTGATGAAATCTTGGAGGAAAACCTGAAAAGAAACCCGACAACTCTCGGCTCCCTAACAGGATGCTCTGGCCATATTTTTCCAAAGTAGTTCTAAGTGAATGGGCTACCCATATTTCATAATTATTTCGTATAATAATATTGATTTAATCTCACTTGACTTTAGAGTTCAAGCTGAAATAGACCCTCTGGGGTTTTGGGGTTTTGGGGTTTTGGGGTTTTGGGGTTTTGGGG